GAAAGCCTTCAGCTTTTTGCCAATTTCAAAGTTTTTTTTTAGTCTGTTTCTCTATGGTGCAGGCCTATTGCAACTCCTTCGGTAGTTATCGTATAGCATACTTTATTAAGCACAAATCGGACGTTTACGAGTGCTTTAGAGTTTTAATTCAAAAATTAAAACAAGATTTGGGCATTCGGTGAAAGTTTTGCATAGTGACGGTGGTACTGCATACTGACGGTGGTACCGAGTACCTCAACAATGAGTTTAAAGGTTACTTAAAACCGACACTGCTTTCAGTTTTTGCGACTATAATGTTTTTTTTTTTTCAAATTTTTAACTCCTCATTGACGCTTCACGAAGAACGTTTGAACAAAAAAAAACAGAAAAATTGAACTGGGAGGGCGATGGGGATGCTATGTGTACCAGACGTGTTATAAACATTTATAAGTGGTACCATTATGAACCATACGGGTGGTACAAACTAGAATTCACGTGCATCAACTGGTACAAACACAAATATGAGGCGACAATATAAAATTTTAGGTTAGGATCGGCCTCGAGCGAATACGAAATACGAAGTGAAACACGGTAGCACTAATTTTAATGAAAAAATACAAGCTTAGTAGTCTACGGAACGTTGGTGGTACATACATATACCTATAGGGTGGGCTTAAAAAAAACCGGAATTTTGTTTTTGAGCTGCTACTTTTTCTGCTGTTGAGCAATTTTCTTTTGTTTTGGCTTGTTTGGAAGAGAATTGAACATGATAAAAAATCAAGGTGAAACTTTTGACATTTGAGAAAAATTCAAAATGGAGGACTTTTTCATAAATTACCTAACTTTGAAATAGCGCTGGAACTTTTTTGTGACCCCCTGTATAACTTTTTTTGATAAATTCTTGAAGCTCATCATGCGAACATTTTAAGATCTCGACAGGAAAAATCGGTTGACAACTAAGTGAAATATTGAAGCTTTTGTAATATCAAATGTCACCTTTTCATTTCCAAAACTAGGTAATTTTTGAAAAAGTTCGCCATTATGAATTTTTCTCAAATTTCAAAAGTTTCACTTTGATTCGTTAGCCTGTTCAATTCTCTTCCAAACAAGCCAAAACAAAAGGAAATTGTTCAACAACAAAAAAAGTTACAGCTCGAAAACAAAATTCCGTTTTTTTTTAGCCCACCTTATATACCGCAGTAGTGAAAGGGTTAAGTGAAGAAGGTATAGAACATGAGGTAACCACGTCGTATACCCTTCAACAAAACGGTCGCACGGAAAGAGAGAATCGGACAAGGGTTGAAAGTGCACAGTCAATTGTTGAAAGTGCACGGTCAATGGTACACCTGGATACAAAAAGCAAAAAACTCATGTTCATTGGATATAACAAAAATTCTATGAACTATAGACTTTTTAATACCATAAGAGAAGATATTATTTCAAGAAATCTGGTGTTTAATGAAAAAAGGTAAGTGTTTTGAAGCCAACACACAGTGAAAATACAACTCGAAAATGACGACGTCACTGATTTTGGCGAAGTGGAAGTAGAAGTTGGTTGAACAAGAAGCGAGACAAGAAGTGGAAGAAATCGAGCAAGAAGAAAAATATGAGCATGTTGGAGAGAACGGTGAAATGTCAGATCTTAGACCACAAAGAAATATTCGCATGCCTGCCAGATTTCAGGATTTTCACTTGAACTCTGTAGAAATTGACATTCCAGATACTTATGATGATGCTATGAAAAGCTAAGAAAATGACAAATGAAAAGAGGCGATTAATGCAGAGTATGATGCTTTGTTTAAGAACAACACATAAATAATCGTAGAAACTCCAGAAAATAAGCAACCTATAGAGTCTAAGTGGGTTTTTCGAATTGAAAGAATTCAAGACGGCACAATCTCAAGATACAAGGCAAGACTATGTGCTAAAGGATATGCACAAAAGGAGGGCATACATTATAATGAGATTTATGCTCCAACAAGATTCGATTCAATAAGAGTGTTGCTTGCCATTGCGAATATGGAAGATTATCAATTTAAGCAGTTTGATATAAAACTGCCTTATTTAGCGAACTCAAAGAAAATATATACATGAAACCATCATACGGATTAGACTGCAAAGAAGGTTTTGTTTGGAACCTGCTAGTAAAGTCATTGTATGGCTTCAAACAAAGCTCAAGATGTTGGAATAAGAAATTCAGCACTTTTCTACTAAACTTTGGTTTTGAAGCTTCGACAGCAGACAAAGTGTCTACACAGGCTACGTCAAAGATATAAAAGTCGTGGTTGTGATATAAGTAGATGATGGTTTGATATTCTCATCTCAAATATCAGCGATTGATACAGTTTTAGATTAATTAAATAATGGTTTTTAGGTTAAAATTGAACAAAAAGCAAATTATTTCGTTTGTGTTGAAGCTACATAAAAAGACGATTTGCAATGTGCACCCAGTGAGCATGCCAGAGGATCAGCGTACAAACATACCAGTGATGGAAGACTCAAAATTGGTAGATGGTGAAGTTCTGTACAGGCAAGCAGTGGACTCTCTGATGTTTCTAGCCACTGTTACAAGGCCAGATATTTTTCATGCGGTGGGAGTGGCAAGCAGATTTCCAAATTGTCCAAACTCAGCCCATTGGAATGCAGTCAAGCAAATAATTTAATACCTAATAGGAGCACAAAATCATGGGATTGAGTTTGACAAAAAGGAAATACAAATCTTTGTCGTTTTGCTGACTCTGACTATGCTAGACGTTCAACAAGCGTCTATGTGTACAAGTTATGCAATGGACCCATAACATTGTCAAGCAAGAGAGCCTACAATTACACTGTCAACAACTGAGGCTGAATAAGTCGTTGCTTCACAAGTCACCAAGCAAGCCATCTGGTTGCAAAAGTTGTTATTCGACATTCATAAAAAGTCATCAAACCAACAATTTTGAATGTTGATAATCTCAATGTGATAATCAGAGCTCCACAAAATTCATATGAAACTCAAGTTTCACGATATGACAAAACATATTGATGTCCAGTATCACTTTGTGAGAGAAAAATATGAAGCTGGACATATTGTTCCTGCCTATGTGAATACACGAGAACAGCAGGCAGATAAATTCACAAAAGCGCTTCCCAAAAACAGATTTCAAGAGTTTTGCAAGAAAGTTGGTATCATTGAAGTTATTCAACAAAAGGTGGGAGTGTTATTATTAAGATTAAAAGCGACCCAAGTTTACATGAAGGGGCATTTTATTTTGTACTGTTCATAACAGGTAACTCATTAACTGCTCAATAAATTGAGTGAGTGAGTTTTCCTCAATTGATTCAAAAATCCACTCATTTTCAAATCAGAATTGTACTTGAAGGAGCCATTAATGAGTTAATTGCTGCGGAACTTGCTCCATTATTTAACTAACCTGCAAGAATGATTCATTATCCAAACGAAAAATACCACAAATATCTAAAGATAATTTATGGTGTACATTCTGAAGAAGAAACATTTCTTTCTACAAGAAAAAACTTTATATAGTGAAACCTGAATGAATATCAGCCTACCTCAAATTGTATCAACTCGTCATTGCAACAAATCATGCTAATAATTTTTGGTGCAATTTTAGCCTAAAAGAAACGGCACTTTTAGCACACAATAAAAATAATTTAATGATTTCTTACCACTTCTTCAACTTTTGTCCCAACAAGAAACAACAAAAACAATTCTAGAAGTAAAATTATCAACCAATAAGTATCGGTTGCAATAATAATTGTAAATTTATTGTTGAGCAAATAATGTATTCTTCCAACTGTTTTGAAAACTATTAAATTTACTATAATGAACAATTGGCAACTATAGGAATTAATAATAATGTTTGTTGTTTTGATAAGTTTGAATTGAAGCGCTGTAAAGGATTTTAGTGAGTTTTCTTGATTCAATTTTCCTGAAAACCAAATATTATTCAACTAATTCACAAATTGATAAATAATTGTACCTTTTAAAATAATATCACCAGCTGAAGCATTGAGGATGGTGAAGTTTTGGTAAGATATCAACAAGAAACAACAAACTACATTTAGGGATTGAGACAATAATAAATAGATTGCAAATTGTTCCAATGAATAAATGAGGTAAAAAGTAGTATCTTGTTGTATAAAAATGCAGCAGCTTGTAATTATTATTCCTGCTAGTGATGTTATTGTTATGAAGAAAAAATGAACATACCTGTTAAAAAACTTAAGTAATGTATGACAATATAATAATGAAATACATTTACCAATAGTTTGTTTTTAAATTTCCTTCCTTCAAATCGCTATCAATCTCCAAATAAAGATTAACATTTTCCAATAAAGATTCTCGAAAAAGAAATCCAATTGCTGACAAAGCTATGGCAGCCAATTGCTGGATCAATTTAAAATAAAATCTTATACTTTTTTCAACAGTGCTGGGGTCCTTTTGCCACTGCTGTATTGAAACTGACATTGATGCGAAAATAATTAAGTTGAATGTAATGAGGAAGCTGCCGTACAACCACTTAAAAGGCAATTTTTCATATTTTTTGAGATTGCTGTTGAATTTCAAAGGAAATACGCAACAAAGCTTGTGCATTTTTGGATGATAACGGAATTGAAATGACTATTCCGATAAAAATCATAATACCTACCAATTCAAATAAATTGATTAATCTACTCTAGCTGAATGTATAATTCATGAATGAAGAATATCGAAATAAAACCTAAATCAGTATAATCAAGGCTTTTGTACGGAAGTATGAGTATAATAAGTATAATTCTATTATGATTGTGTCACAGAAAAATTTCGTTGCAATTATAATTAGTTGAAAAGTAAATTACATACAGGCGACACATTTCGGAGCCAGGAAAGCCCAAAGGGGAGGATCGGGCCCATCGGGTTTCGTTTATTTCTAAATCAAAATATCCGTTGTCTATTGTGGGCGTACAGTATTGGTTTACCACTATGGTAAACTATTCACGAGCTAATCGAGAATTTAACTTTTTAGTTTCATTTGAAAATGGATCGCGTCGCGAGTGTTGTGGTGATTTGTTTAGTGGCGACGACAGGTAAAAGAATTTGTGTATAATAGTATCAATAATTGAGTTTTAAATCAAACTATTGATAGGCAGTACTCAGTAGAGATGAGGAAGCGACAGAACTTTTGACAATGAGCGATCATTTTTTGAATAGTTTACTAGTCTTTTCAACGATTTGATTCAAATTTTAGTGTTTATATGAGATTTAGACAAGAAATTAAGGAAAACTTAATAACATTTTTAATATCAGTCGATTCAAACATTTTTCTCTCTCTCAGATCTGTCCAACTTTATTGCCCCCAAGTAGCACTAAAGCATGAGTAGGCTTATTGTGCTTAGTCTGTTTACTTTATTTCAATCACTCTAGTATTTTGGTGCCCTGTAGAAGGCAAGGTTCTACAGGTTTTACTGGGTGGTGTTTCATTATTGTTTCCAGGACAACGGTTGGTTTCCTCAAACCGCTGTGTCTTCTGCAATCCAGTGCCTCGTAGTGTATCAGGATGTGTCTGGCTGTCTTGGGTTCCTTATTGGAGTCTGTAGTTAAGGTCTGCGTCATACAGGTACATCCTGTTCAGGTGGACCTTTACCGGTGTATGGCCTGTCATAAGGCTCATTATAGTCATTTTTTACTTGTGGTGACGATGGTACGTTTCTTTTTGATTTTTTTTATACCGAGAGCGACTTGAACCAAAAAGTGGTAAAAACGCATCATCGTCAGTAGAGGCCATGATGAATGAGACTGAAGAATAAAGAATATTTCAGATTCGCCTGAACATTTGCAGGGTCATCAGTCCATCCGGCGACCGGCCTTCAGGTGAACTGTTCAGTTGGAACTGACAGGCCTGCCGGACCGTGTGTAGCCGGCTTTAATCAGCAGTTCGGCGGTCCTTTTTCTGCATGGTTAATCGATGAACTCCCCACCATGATTCTGCTGGTTGGGACTGATATTTAAACCTTCTCTATCCACCCTTCTTGTTGTTCGGTCTAGAGCGCCTTGCATTCGCTCCCTAACTGTCTTCACTATGCTGATCATCTGATGAAGCGCAATTCCGGTTGTGAATCCTGTCGGATATGCATAATGGTCTGGGTGTAGTGGTCGGCTTGCCAACACACCTTCCCTAATGGCCCTAATGTGCCTATCCACAAGTTTTTCCAGTGTCTTAAGCTCAAATGACGTAAGACCAGTGCGTCTTAGGGCTTTGCCGTGTCCTATCCTTTTTTTCCAAGCTTTGGTATGAACGTTACCCTAATATGTCTCCAAGTCTTTGGTATATAGCCAAAGACACTTCTTAGAAATTAGAATGTTGCAGAGTATCCTGTGTGCTGGTTCAATTCTGTTCTGTAATATTATGAGACGGACTTGTACGAGTCAAAGGTGTTCATAGTCCATTTGACTTTCTCGCAGTTGACTACTTTCTTCGAGGTCAGCCAGTCATTCCTGGACGCTCTTCGAGGCCTAGGCTTGTTCCATATCCACTGATTCTGATCAACTTTCTTTGAGCCGGGAAAGTGGGTTCTTAGGAATGCCCTAGTCGTCTATTACCCGGTACTGGTTTCTTCACCAAGGCCGTGAACTGATTGTTGTCTTTGGGCCCCTTGGGAAATGGATTTCTTTGTTATATAAGTGTGCATGTCTGATTAAAGGCTGAGATGATTGCATCATCGAATTTATTCACAACCATTTTCAAATATTGTGTCTGTTATTGTCTTCCTGATGATCTTGACATTACTGGTTATGAAAAATCTTTGCTCATATATTGTATTGTTCGTAGATTTTCAACTGACACTTTCGGTATGAGGAGCGAGGGGGTGTTTCATATGGCAAAAACAGGTGTGACGTCAGGTAACCATTGGCGTTCTAATGTAAGCAGCCACCAGCTCACATTCCGTCCGAGTATCAGATTAAAATCGATGGACAATATTGGGTGACGATTTTCAACATTATCATTCTAAACTTAAGATATCATTCAATGGAAATCTGGCTTCAAAGTACGCGCTTTGATGCAAGTAGATAATACTCCTGCTTCTCTATTCACGAATCTCAATAACACTTGCAGACCTATAGCTATTAAATCTGAGAAAAGATCACAAGATAACCCAAAATTCATGGAACAAGAAGTATGGAGAATTTGAAAGGTAGTTTAGTATAGAGAATGCTTGTTGAAGGTATCATTGAAAAGAGTCATTCGCCTTGGAGAGCTCAAGCTGATTTAGTCATTTCTAGTACAAATCATGAAAAACGAATTGTAATCAAGTAAGCACAAACTATAAACAAATTTACTGATCTGGACACAAATCCTCTTCCAAATATGGAAGAAATTATTAAAAAGTTTCAAGGTACCTATCAAGTTTTCAGCACTATAATATATCTAAAGAGTGCACATGATCAAATTCCAATACCCCATGAAACATGAAAAATCTTATACTGACTTTTGTAAAAATTTTGTGAAGTAGATTAAATTTGCAACAATTTAAGGCCAGAATGGTTTTTATTGAATTAATATAGGTGCAGCTCTTGAAAATCTGGCCAATTTTTAAAGTTACAGCAGGTTTAACACCATCAATTCTCGAATCCATTCAAGTTTCTCTGGCAACCAGTGCATCCAGAAAGAACTAACATTCTTCTGAGTTCTCTCGAAAATGTGCAAAAATTTGTATCTTGTTGTATTTTTCACATGCACCATCGTGGTGTGCTTGGGACTTCAGAAACGCTATCTTTAATTTTACCTCATTTTCCTGCGGCACTCAACATATTTACACCAAGATCAATTTTTCCACAATAATGACGATTTCTTTTCGCTACGTTTTTTCTCTTCTCGTCCTAGATGAACTGTTCTGTTCGGTAATTCTATCTGAATGTATCTCCACATAGAAAACGGTGTTTTCTGAAATTAAAATTTTCACTTACTGATCTTGTAGGTCTTGCATCTTCTGCTTCCACAAAGTTTCTCGACAGCGAACTGATGCTGCTATCAACGTGGAGTTGTTCTACCGTTTCTGGCGAACAGTATATGTGTATAAATCTCAACAAACGCTCCTGTTTTTATTTTTTCAATGAAATACTAGACGCCAGAAGCGTTTCGGTTTTCTATCCATCTTGTCTTTACTGTCACTCTCATTCAAGCCCCCATGACAAATAAAACACAAACTTGCAGAAGTCCCTAAATAAATAATTATAATTGGCCAAATTCGGTATAATAGTCGACCTTACAAACACTTCAAAACTGAATCTGGAAAGCTTCGTGTGTGTGGTCTTCAAATAAACCTAGGGGTAATACCTAGAAAAACGAAATTTATTTATATTTTATCGCCCGCCAAGAATTGATTTGCATAATTTGCTGAAAACTTCAGAAATTGGCATGATTTTGAAAAGCTGTATTCGAAACTATTTGCATATAAAAACCATTCTGACCTTAAATTGTTGTAAATTTAATACTTATTATAATAGTCTTTAATGAAAAACCAGTAGTGTTCCCTGGTCAAAATCCACAAAAACTGAAAAAAGCTCAAAAATCTAGAGATTTCTGACAATGAACCGGTCTTCTGCCAAGGTTGGGAACTTGGATTTAGCATTTCTGATCCTAATCGACTTGATACATTCATAGAATTGCCTCCACCAGAAGATCATTCTCCACTAAAACGAGTATTGAGAATATTTTTCCATCTTGCGAAATGGGTCCCAAGATTTTCAGATAAAATCGGACCACTTGTACAAACACAATAATTTCCTCTATGACAAGAAACCCTATCGACTTATAAAGCTTTGAAAGAAGATATTTCAAAAGCTGTTGTCACTGCCATTGATGAAAATCTCACATTCACAATAGAAACAGATGCATCAGACTATGCCATTGGAAGTTGCTTATCACAAAATGGATCTCTTCAAGCATTTTTCTTGAGGAGACTATCGGAAAGCGAGAAACGTCATTCATCAGTCAGGAAAGAAGCCAATGTCATTGTTGAGTCGCTTCGGAAATGGAGATATTACAATTAATATCTCCATCAATATCGGACGAGCTCTTCGGCTAATAACCGATCAACGCTCTGTTTATTCTGTATAATGATAAAACATGCAAGAAAAATAGAAAATGATTGCGGTTGGAATTGGCGTTTTACAAATATGACATTCTATATGTATAGACCAAGACGAGAAAACATAGTGGCTGACGCTTTGTCAAGAGTTTGTGCCATATATAAATAACAAACAATAGAAACTGTTAAATCTGCACTAGTCTATGTCATATAGGTGATACGAGAATTATTCGTTGGGTTCATGGCAAAAATCTACCATATTCAGTTGAGGAAGTTGGAAACATGATTGCCAACTGTTCAGTTTGTTTACAAGTAAAGCCTAGATTCTCCAAAAATAAAGGAACATGAATGTAACGCCAGTATTTTTTCCCAGTTAAATTTTTAAATGAAAAAACATGTGTAGTGCATAGTGTTGGAGTTCCCTTCGATACCCGCTCTATATTTGGCGCCCAACGTGGGGCCTGGGGTTTTGTAGTGAACCACTACCCCAATGACTTTCTGGACTAATTTTGTGACTGTAGATCAATGAACTATAGAACGCGAGACATTATCAGTGTGTAAATATGCATTAATTGACTGAATTGTGTAAGTTTACATTACAGTTTCCTGTGTGTCCAAGTTTGTCCTCCATTTTGTACCCACATTACAGTTTCCTGTGTGTCCGTCCAAGTTTGTTCGAAGGGTACCTACATTACAGTCGCCTGTTTGTCAGGATTTACCCGAGCTTGCTGTTTCGCAACACTACATTTCCATCGCTTAGCTTACTCCAAGCTGGATTTTTCTGTATATGCCTTATAATCTTCGATCGTCACAAAGAAATCAAGACCAAATGGGTGACCCTGTTGTTCTGACGAATAAACAATTACAAACATTACTCGCTGGTATGAGAGATATGTTTCAGAATATGCGAATTTTTCTAAATGCGGCTCAAGGTTTTCTGGAAAGCCAGACGAAGATGCTGAAGCTTTTATTGATGCCATCACTATTTATAAAGACTGTCTGAACATCAGTGACGATAACGCTGTAAAAGGTTTACCCATGCTACTGGATTGCGCTGCTGCAGTATGGTGGCAAGGCACCAAAAAGCCAAACATCTTATGGACTGAAGTTTTACATGCGCTACGTCATGCTTTTGGCTTTAACAAACCAGCACATCAGATTTATAGAGAACTGTTTTCTCGAGAACAAGACAGTACGGAACCAATGGATCTTTTCGTGAATCAAGCCCGTGCACTACTTTCAAAGTTGACAACAATCACGACCTTGCCAGAGGAGCACAAGCTAGAAATGGTTTATGGACTCCTTCACTATAGAATCAGGGAAAAACTTCTTCAGCATAATTTCCAGAAATTTTCGGAACTGATCGATAAATGCAGAGCAATGGAATCCAGCCTTGCTAAATCCAACGTAAAAGTGACTTCCACGTCCGTTGCAGAAAAGCCCAAAGACCGGTGTGCATTTTTCAAAGCATATGGACATGTTCAAGCTGTTTGAAGAAAATTTAAAGCCAAGTCTGCTGAAAAAGCCTCGTCCACTACTTCTGCCCTAACAGTCCGATCCAGTAACCCGTCCTCTACAAATGTAACATGTTATGGTTGCGGTAATCCAGGATATATTCGTTCCAATTGTCCTCAATGTAAACCTGCACCAACAACCATTTCCTCTGTCGAAATGCTCACTGCTGGTCTCGGTAATAAACCTTCCAGTTTGTTATCAACGTTTGATGGTCCGCCTCTAAGACCCATGATACCTGTCATCATTCAAAGTAAATAAGGCTTTGCTTTTGTGGATTCCGGAGCATGATGCAGTATTGCAGGTTCAAAGTTGTTAAGCCACTTAGATGCTATTCGGCATCCATTCGAAACTGCTCCAATAAAACTGGTATTTGCTGATGGTATACCCCGAGAAGTTGAAGCAAAGATGTACCAGTGTTCCATCGAAGTTATGAATAAACAACGAAAACTGCAAATGATTGCTGTTCCAGACTACAAAGATAGTAAGACTTTACTTGGTGTTGATTTCATATCACAATTCGATATAGTGCTCAATATACCTAAGAAGATATACTATTTCAATGATGATCCAAGCAATTCCTTGCCATTACAGGATGAAGTTATTGATTTCAACGCAGTGTTGTCTGTTGTTGACGGGAATGATTTGTCGTAGCCGACTCTCTCCAATATTGAAGAAGGGACATTGAAATCGCTGTTGGAACATGACAAGGATTTGTTCGATGAAAATACAGGAGTTACCCCATATGCTTAGTATACCATCATCCTCACTGATAATATTTCCATAGCTGCACCACTATATCGCTTATGTCTTGCGAAGAAAGAAGTTTTGCGTCAAGAGCTTGACAAACTTCTTGCCAGCGATATCATTGAAGTGAGCGAATCGCCGTACGCATTTCCAGTTGTCCTTGTACCGAAGAAAGACGGAACTTCACGACTTTGTGTTGACTATCGCCGACTGAATGCTATCACCAAGAACGTTCGTTACCCGTTGCCTCGTATAGATGACCTTATTCATTCAACTGGAAAAGCTAACTACATAACCACCTTAGATCTGAAGAGTGGTTATCATCAAGTACCTGTCACAGAAGAAGATCGTGATAAAACCGCCTTCGTCACGCCATTTCGACTTTATCGATATAAAATGATGCCTTTTGGTCTATCCACAGCTCCAGCAACGTTTCAGAAGCTAATAAACCGTTTTTGGTCAGGTTTGCCGCATATCCAGATATTAGGATACCTTGATGACTTAATAATTTTATCCACGACTTTTGAACAACACATCAAAGACTTGAGTGATGTTTTCAACCGTTTACGCATCTACAAGTTGAAGGTGAATAAGAAGAAATGCACTTTCTGTACTTCAGAAGTTAAATATGTTGGTCATCTTATTGGACGAGATGGTATCAAAGCCGACCCGGAAAAGGTTGCCGCTATCACCCATCTTGCCGCACCCAAGAACGTGAAACAAGTTCTCAGTTTTCTTCAGACTTGTTTATGGTTCCGTAGATTCATTCCAAACTTTGCCAATGTCTCCAGACCGCTAAGTAACTTGACAAGGAAGAATGTTTCGTGGGCGTGAGATTTGGCACAACAAGAATCGTTCGAGAAGCTCAAAGTTCTCCTGACTACAGCACCTATTCTGCGTCAAGCCGATCCTTCTAAGCCATACATTATTAAGAATGATGCCAGTGCCTATGCTATTGGTGCATGTTTGCTCTAGGGGGAGGACCCGACGAAAGACCGGTAGAATACGCCAATCGTTTACTTACTGCGGCCGAGAAGAACTTTAGCTGTACTGATCGGGAAGCCCTTGCACTTGTCTACGCAGGCAACAAGTTTCGCGGATACATAGGAATATGAACCATTATTGAAAACATTGAGCTGATATAATCAAATCCGCATTATTCGTTTGTGAGACTACAAAATGGTAAAGAAATATCTGTCTCAAACAAGCATTTATCACCGAATAGTCGAGAACATAGTGACCGATAAAAATGAGGAAATGATTCACTCAGTTAAATATACCTCAACCAGTCCAGTCAATAGTAGATCATCTTCAACCAAATCAGAATGAAATAGAATTGAATCAGCCGTTACCATCTCGTTCATTTGGCCATTCTCAACCTTCTCTTTCAATAGCATACAATGTAGAGAATTTGAAGAGAGATCGGCGAATTCCACCCTACCTGGAAGACCTCATTCATTAAAAGAAGAAGTGAAGAATGTTATGAAAATTTTGTCATTGACATTGCATATTATTAGTTTGTTAAACTTTTTCAAAATTCATCATCATCATGAATCAGCCTTGTCCCTTGTCTCGTCCACTGCTGGACTTAGGCCTCTCTTAACCTAATCCATCTTGCTCGGTCTTGGATCCAATTTGTAGATATCCTCTTGATATCATCTGTCCATCGAGTCGGCGTTCTACCCTGTCTGCAATATCTTTGTCCGAACTTTGGAATGTGGGTGCATAGGCTTGGATAATATTTACATTGTGTCGTTCATTTAATTTCAATATTACAAAGCAAACTCTGGGGCTTACGCTACTGATCTCAAGTATATTGTGTACATGTCGCCTATATATCAGAAGTCCGACTCCTCCTATGGAGCTGTTTTTTTCACAATTATGGTAATACATATTTCCCGACTTCAGCAGGATTTGTTTTTCTCGTCTTATCCGGATTTCGCTTATTCCGATTACATCCCAGTGTATTTGTTCAAGTTCTTCTTTTAGATCCAAAACTTTCTCGTCAGATGAAAGGGTTCTCGTATTATATGTCGCAGTATGCAGTTTTAGTCTTCCTTGGTTGCCAATCTTACCCGGGGATTCTTAGCACCCTCCAATCGCTGTGTCTTCCAACCTCTACCTTGCATTGGCCATTTGTGATTTCTACTTTCCATCTTGGTTTAGGTTTGAGGGTTTTAGCCTTTCCTATCACACTGGCCAGTGCAGGTTGAGAGGGGATATCAAAATTAATTCCCTAGAAATCAAGACTAAACTGGCTCTGTTACAAAACTTCATTCAACTAAATCACAACTCACTATCGACTCGGCTAATTATTATCTGATTTATTAACGCATTCGCGTACAATTAACTGATTCTTGATACATTGGAGTTTAATTTCGGTGGCACTGACAAATTCCATTCGTGAATTGTCTAGTCATCAGGCAGAGTAGCAAGGTTGTACACAATTTACTCAACTTGAAAGATTTATGACAGCATGTATTGGGAATTTCATCAAAAATGAATAAGGTGAAACTTATTTCTTATTTTTGGTTATTTTGCTCTGACGCATGCTACTCTATGTTGTAATAATTCAACTGAAAAATAAACAAAGTAGTTTAAACCATAATTTTATACCTAGTGCGGTATCCCTTGCCTATAAATTCTAATTTGTAAGATAATTAGTAATTTCCATTTTCCAGTTATTGCCAGAAGAGATTCGTCTGAATTCAGCTGTCCGTCGAGTTCATCCTCAACAACCGCAGCCAAATTGAGGGACCAATTAGTGTGCGATTACGATTACAATATCCGTCCAGTCAAGGACCATCGTAATGCAACTACAGTCCAATTTAGATTATTATTGAAATATTTTCAATATGTAAGCACAGACAATTATTTCTTGGCAAACTAATGACACACTGACGTTATTTCAGGACCATTTCAGCCATATGTTGAGTGTAGATGCTTGGTTCACTACGGTAAGTAAAAAATAATACCTATTTGTCGATAATTTATTGTTGATTATAAGTTTTGGGTGGACGAACACCTCAAATGGAAACCAGACGATTTTGAAGGCATCAAAAGTATCCACTTATCTTCCAGCTACGACATTTGGGTGCCAGATATTTCAATTTACAACAGGAAAGATCAATCCACTGACCCTAAAGCCATTGGTGACACTATGTGTTCAATTAACTACCAGGGAACAGTCCTATGTGTACCGCCCTTACACTTTGACGCACTTTGTGTGCCAAATTTGAAAAAATATCCTTACGACACTCAAGAGTGCACTGTCAGGTTTGGATCTTGGGTACACAAAGGCGAGGAAGTGAATTTGAAATTTGTAAGTACTTGACATAAAGATTTTCAATATTGAAATTAAAATTGTTGCAGATAACTCCTGTAATTGATACGGAAGATTTAGAGACAAATGGTGAATGGGAATTAGTTTCGTTTAAAGGCGTCAGGCATCGTGGAAATTATAGTTGCTGTCCCAACAGTACTTATCCTTCAGTTGATGTTGTTTTAGAAATCAAAAGAAATAGTCATACACATGCTATTAACGTTGTCTTACCCTTAATCGGTAAGTGTTATCAAATATGTATATACGTATTTTTTAATTTTCTTTGTTCTAGTCTGTATTTTGCTTACCATTACTACAATGACAATGTCTCCATTGAACAATGACAGGTTTATTTTGAGCTGTGTCTCGCTGATAGCTCACATATTTCATGTGCAAAATTTGTCTTATAGTGTTCCTGTGACTGGAGAAAATTTGCCAAGTTTGTGTAAGTATGCTACTCGATTTTAACAGGCTGATGTTCTGCAACAAAAAATCCAATTAGAAACTGTTGTTGGACTTGAATAGTTAAGATTTTCCTTATCGAATTCTATCATGATAATAATTGCCTCAAAATGTATCAAAATTGAATTTATTTTAGTGTCAATTTCTCGTGATTCTACCCTACTAGCGGGCGTAAGCGTAGTACTAACAGTCCTGTTGAAAAATCTAATGCAAAATAAAAACCAAAGTCCTCAATGGGTGTCAGTCACAGCTTCAGTCTTAATAGGATCCAGACCTGGACAATTGATATTTCTACCTGATAATTCATTGAAGGTAATTGTGCAATTGAAGTGTAAGTATTTTATATTACACTCGATTTTTCTTTAGGGTGCAGCAGCTGCCCAAAAACACGAAGACGGTGAAACGATTATTTCAAACCTAGAAATTCCCACAAATTCGTCATCCGATTGGTTTGTTTTCGCCAAATTCCTTGACGTACTTTTACTTATTACTTATGTGTTGACTTATTTTATTATTTTAATAAGTTTTTAATAAAGTGATGTTATTTACGTTGAACTGAAATTTCATCGTTTACACTCTTTTTCAAGGGATTCCTTCTTTTCTGTCTTTATAGCGTTGTGGCGGAGTTATAAGTTTGTTTACTCCTTTTAGGCCTGCTGCTTTCTATACTTTTCAAGCGAAGTAACAATAGATCTGTTCCAATACGTCAAAAACCGTCCCACGGACGGTTTGAAACCACTCTGTATACAAATTTCAGGCTTTACGCAGAATCCTGACGGTACATTGTACAGCTTCCTACTGGGTAAGAAAAAGCTAATAATAACCGTTTTAGCAAATCAGGTGGAAGGCCAATCAGATTACAGACCCATTTATTTTTCTTTGATTAGCAAGATAAAAAAGAAACTAATCAAGGGAAGAATGCTTAATTTCTCGAATCAAATTCGCATTTTGTGTTTCAAATTTCCAACAATTGATTGATTGATTTGAAAGGGGACTCTTTACAGGCAGCATGTAGCTGTGCATGTGGCCCATTGTGCTATCCCCCTCTTGGTTCAGGGTACAGCCCTGCCCTTCGTAGGTACACACTTCAAAAGAACCTTATCAACTAGCGCTTATCAAGGATTTTTTGAGCCAGAAGTAATATTGCAGTGTGCAGTCTGCTTACGGCACTGAAATCGCTGCTTTTCCAAACCAAAGGAATGTAACGTAAACGTAATTATGTTTGAATGAATTTATTAATATAGTTAACTTAGCCAAAAACAAACAAAAAAATATAATGTAAATAAATAAATTAAATATACCTACTTGCCTAGATTAGGGCAAAGTTAAAATATCAGCTCCCGATTGTGTTATCAATATGGTATGTTCAAATTGTGCAGTCCTGGCTTCGTCTACAGTCACAGCAGTCCAATCATCTTCTAGAATCTCTATAAGTTCTTCGCCTTGAGTTAAAATTGGTTCAATTGTAAATGTCATGCCTGGTTCCATTTTTCCTGGATAGGCATTTCCTAATAATAATAGAACAATTATTAATCGTTGAAACATTTTTTTTACTCACTTATATGATAAATATCTGGTGGTCCATGAAAATAATGTCCGATTCCATGTCCCACAAACGCCGGTACTATGTTATATCTCATTTCTGCAGCTTTTTTCTCAATAAAGTATCCAATATCACGGAAGTAGGTTCCAGGTTTGCATATTTTAATAGCTTCATCTAAACAGTGTTCTGTAGCTTCTACAAGGCGTTTGCCTTCATCATCTACATTGCCTATTAGGAAGGTTTTTGAACAATCTCCATGATAACCGTTGTAGAATACCTGTTAAAAAAAACACAATAAGGGCTTATCTACACACATCAAGTTTGTATAATGTTATGATGAGTGGCATTTTTTTTCCAAAGAGTTTTTTACAGACCCCAAATAATTATGTACAGAAAACAAAAAAATATGAGTCTAGAAGAATTAACTGGTTCATTCTAAAAAGTAAGAACTACTAATAGAAATTTTCAGTCAGTTTCTGCCATTATTAGAAAGTCTTTGGAGATTATGATACACTGCATTCTCTTCTAATCTGAGTGGGACTTTCTTGTAGGTTTGTATACATCTGTAGATGAGAGAGTGCTGTCTTTTCTTAGTTCTAACAAGGGTAGTTCTGATTTGTTGTCTTGTCCTTTGTTCTAACAAATTGGAGTACCTAAGTCAAAAACTATTTCTTAACTCACCGTTATGTCAACATTTATAATATCGCCGTCTTCTAAAGGTCGATCGTCAGGTATTCCATGGCAAGTCACATTATTCACAGAAGTACACACTGATTTGGGAAAGTGTTTGTAATTTAATGGAGACGGATACGCTTGGTGTTTTATGCACAAGTTATGGACTAGAGTGTCTATTTCATCTGTTGTTTGACCTACCTAAGGTATTTTAAGATAGATTTTTGTAAGCATTAGGTAATTTAAGAATTTACTCACACTGATTGATTCTCCAATTGTCTTCAAAACTGTAGCTGCTAATTTACATGATTCTCTCATTCTCTGTATTTGTTCAGCATTTTTAACTTCCGGATATGCGATAGTTTCCTTTGGTTCTCCATCGAGATGATAGCTAGGTTTTGGTATGTGATCTGGAACGGTTTTTCTGGAAGATACTTTTCCTGGGTGTACCAGGGCATAGTTGCCAAAATTTGGTTTACTGGAAATGTAGGTGAAAGGTAAAGTAGCATGTAAGTTAAAATATTTTGGAAAGTTTACCTTTGTTTGGTGAAGAAAAAGTTTCTTATAAATGGATGTAATCTCATTATAGCTGTTCACTTATTACTATCACAAGTAAATTAAATTATGAAGTTCAACGAAGCAAATTTAGTAGGATTTCTAAAAATAGGTACATAACAAACCTACAAAATTCAAACATAAAATCATAAAAATGAATTGTTAGAGGTTATGATTATAACTAGGGATGTGTATCGATCGATGTTTTGAAATCGATTTTAATGTGCATTAAAATCTATATTAATGTTTATGAAAGTGCCCATCTCTAGCTGTGTGATGATCAGTGGTGTGATAACGATTTTCGGGATTCCCCCCCCCCACTCTATGATTCCCACCAAAATGATGCATCCCCTAATCTGGCATCATCAATGGAAAATTTCCTTTATTTTTACTTACTTAGAATTTCCAAATTCTAAGTAAGTACTTAGGTACAAAGTTTTATGCACTTTAGGGATTATATGGGCCGTTTCCACCAACTATTTTAGGGAAGTCCTAACGATAAGTATTTCCTGAAATGACATTTTTACATGGAGAAATGTAGGTTTAAGGCATACCTATATGTTTAGGGCTTCCCTAAAATAGTTGGTGGAAATGGCCATAAGTAACGTTTTAATCCATGTTTTAAGGGAGGAAAAATGGTCTCTTATGGCCGTTTCCACCGACTATTTTAGGGGAGCCTTAACGATAAGTATTCCCTAAAATGACAATTTTTACATGGAGAAATGTTAGTTTAGGGAATAGGTACTTCTCGTTAAGGCTCCCCTAAAATAGTTGGTGGAAACGGCCATTAATCTCTGGGATTAAATTTCACTTTATTTCCATAAAATACTGTATAGTGATAGTGTATACACCTCATCCAGGACTAAAGTGTTTTTTTAATTCCTCGGCTCGGGATTGAAAGTACTTATTACCACATTAGTACTTCTGTATCTAAAATAATGAAATTTGAATTCTTTGTACGTTGAGATTTTATGTTTAACTTATCATTTGGGAGTCGGACCCCCCAAACTCCATACACTAAATTTAGGGGAACTATGAGTCCTGAGCTGAAATTGTTGGGATTGAAGTTTTCCACAAGGATTAAGAATCGATATAAACTAACTGTGATATTGGGTGACTTTAACATTGATATGCGCTTCGTTCTGATAGTTTTACCGTTTTACCTTAAAAATACCGTGATCATTAGTATTCTGATTCTCGTAGTTTGCGACATCTTTTGGGCGGTGATGGTTGGAAGGGAAGAATCAGAATTTGAATACCAGCTGTGTGAGCTTGTATATTTGAAACATGGAAAAACATATGCGTATTAAATTATTTATGATCTTAATTTTTCAGATCTGGAATTCAAAACGCTCGTCAGAGTCACTCTGGCAGATCGATATGAAAAATTCATAATCTGAAAAAATAAGAATCTGTGTGCTGTACATACAATGCGCTGTATAATAAAAAATATATACAATTCCGTACGTTATGAATTCAGATTCTGAATTCAGAAAGACATTCCGGCTGTGTGAGGCCGGCCTTTTACTAGCGTTTTGAATTCCGGATCTGAACAATTGATCCATCTTTTTTTACCTTGATTGCACGCGCAACTCGTGGTTTGCAGGTGAGCGTCCAATGAGAAGCGAGTTTGTTACGCGCTTGCGTCATATTCTTATTCAGGAGCCAGTTCAGAATTAATCGTTTCTTCTTTCTTTGTAACGTAACGTGTAATTTGTGCGAGAACACTTGACAATATATCACTTTTTTAATGTTATAATGTTCGATTTGTATTGTCTACATTTGTTCTTCAACAATACAAATTGGCTACACTGCAACCCACTAGTTGCGCGCGCATGTTATCTTTTATCACTTTTCAACTTATATTTATTATAACTAAGCTATCTTTTTCTATTTATGCGAGATAGGTCAATTAAGATTATAATAATTCATCTAACGCATATTTTTCCATATGTTTCAAATATACAAGCTCATACTACAGCAGGAATTCAGGTTCTGATTCTTCCTTTCCAATAAACACCGCTCAAAAAATGCCGCAAACTACGAGAATATATACCTAACTGGTCACGGAATTTTAAAGACTTTTGTGTGCGGTAATGTGCCGGAATTCAGATCCTGAATCCTTCCAGATTAAATCGCGGTTTTATGTTTAAAACGTTCATGATATTGTTTCAGGAATTGATAGTAACGATTTTGACACAAATTATCGCCCAATCAATACTATTATCCAGTCCTGGAAATTTTGTTTGAAAAAGTTGTGTATAGTCAACTTATTGAGTTTCTGGAAAACTGGTAACTCAATTACTGAACATCAATCTGGGTTCCGAAAAGGACACCGTTGTGAAACGGCAATGCAGTTTGTTCTGGATGAATGGAAAAATAGTTTTGACAGCAATAAAAGTGTAATCGCAGTATTTTTAGTACCCCAACGAGCTTTTGAGACAATAGATAATCTAACAACACTAAGGAAAAGAAGCTTGAGAGGAGACCTTAGAAACATACAAGATATTGCTGATTATATACCAAACAAACTTTGATACCTATATCCTATATTTCATGCAAATACAAATACACAGCTAAGAGTCATAGCAAAAAATTGGAGAACGAAAGAACAGGGACGATCCTAGGGTGTCGGTCGCTCGCGTGCAAAGAGCAATTGTGCTGCCCCATAGAGATAGCCCCCCGTCCGTACGTAGGCGCTGCCGGAGGCAGACATTTTTTTTGGGTGTCACGCCCAAAAACGTTCATTTCGACTATTTCGAGCCTCAAAATGAACGATTTTGGGCGTTCGAGAAAATAAAAAACTTGTTTGGAACATATTTGTTTTCTATGAGTTGTTGGAATGCGGGTGAGTCGAGGGGTGAGTGATAATCAATAATGAAGGTCTATAAACCTAGCAGTCCCAAGGTGGAAAAAAATTCGGGAACTATATAATAATTAGGTGCTTTTTAGGTGCTAATTAGGGCCTCTAATTAAAAATTAGGTGCTCCTTTAGTTTCTGAGAAAATCAAAAAAAACTAAGGGACTGCTAGGTTTATAGAAGCTAGCAGTCCCCTATAGTAAAAAATATTTTTTCAAATTTTTTCTTTGTATCAGAATTAGGTGCTTTTTAGGTGCTCCTAAATAGTCCAAGAAAAAATAGAATTGATTAATTATTAACTGAGTTACAGATTTTTTTTTAATTATTAGGGGACTGCTGGCTTTACGTTATCATGTTGGTGTGTCAGAATGGAAAAAAAACTTCGGGATCTATATAATAATTAGGTGCTTTTCAGGTGCTAATTAGGACCTCTAATTAAAAATTAGGTGCTCCTCTGATTTTTGAGAAAATCAAAAAAGACTAAGGGATTGCTAGGTTTATGAAAACTAGTAGTCCCCTATAGTAAAAAATATTTTCCCAAAATTTTCTTTTGTATCAGAATTAGGTGCTATTCAAGTGCTCCTAAATAGTCAAAGAAAAAATATGATTGATTAATTATTAACTGAGTTACAGATTTTTTTTAATTATTAAGGGACTGCTGGCTTTCCGTTTGCATGTTGGTGTGTCAGAATGGAAAAAAACTTCGGGATCTACAGTGTCATTACTTAAGTGTGCAACATATGGGATTTTTTTTTAGTAATAGCACAATCAAAATATAAACAAGGCCAAAAGTTGGTGTATGTCTGATAATCATATCAGGTGCACTTAGAATGGTTGCAAGTTAAACAGCATACAGGGTAGCTGAAACAATATCAAAATTGTACTGTAAAGTACATACCCTTATTTTAAAGAATTCAGCAAAATGTTATAGAGAAAAATTGTTTGGAATTAAAAGTTATGATGCCTAAATGCCAAAACATAGCCTCCTAGGATTTTTTTAATTTTTTTTTTGAAAAAAAATCTATAAACAAAATATAGAGGAGGCGGCCGATGGAGCTTCCTCAGTTGTTCAAATTTTACCATTAATATTAATGTAAATAATTAAAAATACAAACTTTTTTTGACGTTTGCTTTCAAATTTTGATGTTTCATTTTTAACACTAGTGCCTTAAAGACTTTTAACACTAGTGCAATAAAGTAACATTTTTAATGCTTCGAGGGGGTGTTAAAAATTGCATTTTTAACACGTTTGTAGAAAAAATATTTTTTCCTATTGGGGACTATTAGCTTTCATAAACCTAGCAATCCCTTAGTTTTTTTTTGATTTTCTCAAAAATCAGAGGAGCACCTAATTTTTAATTAGAGGCCCTATTTAGCACCTAAAAAGCACCCAATTATTATATAGATCCCGAAGTTTTTTTTCCATTCTGACACACCAACATGTAAACGTAAACCCAGCAGTCCCCTAATAATTTTAAAAAAATCTGTAACTCAGTTAATAATTAATCAATTCTATTTTTTTTTGGACTATTTAGGAGCACCTAAAAAGCACCCAATTCTGATACAAAGAACAAATTTGAAAAAATATTTTTTACTTTAGGGGACTGCTAGCTTTTATAAACCTAGCAGTCCCTTAGTTTTTTTTGATTTTTTCAGAAACTAAAGGAGCACCTAATTTTTAATTAGAGGCCCTAATTAGCACCTAAAAAGCACCTAATTATTATATAGTTCCCGAAGTTTTTTTCCACCTTGGGACTGCTAGGTTTATAGACCTCAATAATGATACTATCTTAAAACTAAGTAGGGCCTGGGTACGAAATTAAAAAATATATACCTTACATGCTCCATACTCTACATAACATACCTATACCCACCTGCACTTGGGACCAAAAAAGTTGGTTAAATTGTTTGCAGAGTATTCACCAAGTGCTCTTGTATGGTTCGGTTCGGTTAGTAGTTATTCTTGCAGATAAGGAACAAAAATGAACGTTTTGAGAAAACAAAGCAATAGCAATAATTCAGAAAATATTTTAAAAAATGCGATCCAATGAGGGCTATGTAAATAAGACTTAACTGTGAACAGCAAAAACATTGTTGAGTCAAGCCAACACACTGACTGTGCACTAAACCTTCTATTTATACTATCGGGAGATCGGGGCTAATTCTGATTTTTCAGGATTTTTTTTTGACAGCTTTTCATGAGCTAGCATTTGACACCAACTTTGAATTTAACCGGAGATTAAATTTAACCGGAATTTTTAATCATGAATTAACTTCAAAGATGGTGTCAAATGATAGATGTAAAACTAAGATAACAATGTATGATCGGTTTTGCTGTAAAATCAACCGTTTAAGTTTTACAGTCTGTCCGATGCAAAAAAGTCAATTTTTTACTGTCATTATTTCCGAAACAGTTGAAGTTAGGTATATGACATTATACATGAAATATGTCTAGAATTTTCCGCAGAATGCAAAAATGTCATAATATACAGGGTGTCCCATTAAAAAAAATATATTTTTTTTGTTTTTTAAACTTTTTGCAACACCCTGTATGAACAAAATTATGTTTTCTGAGAACTATTTTTCAAGCACTACAACTTCCCTATTTAAATTTTTTTTATACACAGTGGCACAAAAAAGTTAAGGCGGGTGGGAAAATATAAAAAATGACCCTGTACCAATAGACAATAATGTCCCTAAAACTTGAAGTTTTAGCTTTAAAAAATCAAAATCGAAATCTTGGTATTTTTGCAAATGCATGCAAATTCATGTTGTAGGTATACTTGATATCACTCTATAATGGCAAACAATTTTGTAACTGTCTAGTTAGATATCAATTAAGTTAAAACATATTTTCCAAGAAAATTTAACGAGTTCCAGAGGATTTTCTCTGAACCCAACAGAAATAGTTTGGTTTGCAATCTCTATTGAGAAAAAATACAGACCATTTTCATTATTGAGCCAACGATAATAGAAACTGTACACACTGATAATATGTTCTTTTTCCCACAGTTAAGACAAGAGGGTATCTATTTTCAGCAGGATAGTGCCACCACCTCATTACTCTTTAATAGCAAGGGAATCACTAGATATGACATTTGGGGAAAGACGGATAAGGAGAGCTGGTCCTATAGAAATGGACACCTTACGCTCCTGACTTGAGGGTTCTAGACTCTTTTCTCTGGGATTATGTCAAGGAAAGATGCGCTAATAATTTGGTCGATAGCTCAAATAGCCTGGAAGATCTTAAGCGGAACATTTGTAATGTCATTGAAGCGATTCTCCAGGAATTCATTCAACCATTTACTGATACATAAATGCCTGGAACAGAATGGCTAACATATACGTATACAGCATTTTTTATATAGACCGGTGCATAACGACCATTTTTTTAAAACGATTTTCTCCCGTCTGCCATTAAGGATGGTTCTTCTTTATGCAATAAGAAGTGGAATGGCTGAAATTTCAAAGAGCCCCGCGTGAGACAATTAAATGATATGCTAATTTGAAAATGTAATGAAAAGTGGAGATTTGGATCAATATTATCCCGTCTGCCACACATTGTGAAGATAATTTAGACAAAAATGAGTACAAGGAAGCTAAACGGCGGAAACCCTAGGTTAGTATAAAGTGTCATATTACTAATTTCAAAATGTCGCCAAAATCGGACATGTGGATCAACGACCTCCCGTCTGCCAAATTAAATTTATGTTTCATTCACTATGTTATACATCAATAAGTAAATGGCAGAAAATCTCGGTTGGTATAATAATTTTTACCAATTTTTGAAGTTGTATCAAAATGCTGAGATGTTGAAACAATTTTCTCCCGCCTAAAACATGTTTTGTTACAATGGAATTTAGATAAATAATGTACCTTTGCATCGGCAGAAAAATTGAAGTGGTACAGATATTTATTTTTAATTTTTCAAAATGTCAAAAATTTTCAAATTTGAGATCAATTATTTCCCGTCTGCCATTAATTTATATTAAATAAGTTAGCTTAAATACGTTTTGACTGGCAGAAATTGCAGACTGGTACAAGTCCTAATAAACAATGAACAAAATAACGACAAAAATTGTTCATATGATGAACGTTTTTAACCCGATGTTGAAAAACGGATTTTTTTTACTCGCTCTGTATCAGTTTCAAAGAAATTTGCAACCTACTAAAAAAAAATTCAGGCCAAGAGAAATCGAATGGCGCAAACCACAGGCATACCTGGTTTAAAAGTTTATAAGCATTTAAAACGGGTCACTCTCGGCTGGGACACCCTGTATATAATGGCATCCATTCGACAATATAGTTTGTTCAGATCGAAAGAATACCTGGATTGTTTCCAAAAATAAACAGTCCTTTCCTTTTATATAAAGGCGCGTTTCCACTGAAAAATTGGCAACTTCTGTATTTGCAAATCTTCCAAAAATTAACAACTTTTAAATTTTTCTTAGTTATCCACACCGATTTTGGTAAAAATATATGTAGGTATAGTCGTTGTGTGAATATAATAAATAGTTCTAGCTGATTTATCTCCAAAGAGACAAGCGGTAAGATCAACTAAGTTGAATTTACCGTCCGATCGTGCATAAAACAAATAAACAGACTAACAGTTAACAACCAAGTCCATGGACATAATACAAGGCAGCAGCATAACTTCTATATACAACTTAGAAATAACAAGCTTGCTGAAAATTCTGTTTCTTTTAAAGTTCTGGGAGTCAATGGTCAATAAGTTACCTTATAATGTTGAAAATAATTGATCTCTGAATGGTTTTCAGGAAAATTTAAAATTGTTTTTGCTTAGGGAAAATGATCTTAGTACCTGCATAGTCTTAATACATTTTACTAGACATTTTGATCCATTTTGACTCTTGTCTTTGTCCATTTTAATGATTGTACACTTGTGTCCTTTGCATTTTGTAATAATGTTTATATTGATTGGCTAAGATTCTCGTCAGTAATGTACTTTTCTTTGTAAAATGGTAAAACTGTAAAATTTTGTAAACTATTATTATATCGATGTAGGTCATTATATTTCTCAATTTTATTTTAAAGCATTTTTATAAAAGCATTGCTTATGCTTATAATTATCTGCTTTGCATATCTGCCACTGATGTACTATAAAACATGTTGCAAATAAAACACTAGCATTATTGTAAATATTTTATTCTTTTTATATAAATGGCTTGTACTATGTACATTATTTTTTAAAATTTGTGTACATATTGCTCCCACTTTTTCTCATAAAATAATATAATACATTTTTTTTTTCTTCTACGCAGTGGGTCCAAGGAGGGCGTGCGAAAATAATCAAACTACTTACAATTTACAAATACTTTTTTTATAATTTGACAAATTTGTATAAAATGGAATGTTTTATACTACATAATAAATTAATCGGTTTGATTATTTTCTCACAAAATTATCAAAAAACACTATCAATATACAAAACTGCTGCTCTATCAAAATCAAAGACAGACTTTTACAAATTCCATTTAGAAAAATATACTATCGTAGAATAATTTTTTCCTTATCAATTTATGTAATTTTGAATAATTGCTGATGATGTTTCGTTATGTACATTCAGGGAAGCACATTATATCGAAAATAACAATACAAAAAGTAATTAAACAAATAAATATTATAATTAATATATTTACATTTACTAAAACTAGGCATTATTACTACTAACAAGAACCACTGGGAGGGTAGGAGACGGTACAAAATAAAAGAAAGATGTCAACATCAATGCTAAATATATGAATGCAATAAAAAAAAAACCTAATAACAATAAACAATTTAAAATCAAATGAGAAGGTTAAAGCATATTATAAAAAAAAAACAAATCCAGCTAAACCATATGAACAACACCCGCGCTCATTGCAATCATTTTCTCTTCAGACTGGATTCACATGTCTTAAAAACTACAAATATTTACAAAACAATAAATAATTGTCTTTGTTCTTCAACTTACAATTAATAAAAAGTATCACTTGAAGGGCTTAGGGAACTTGGAGAATACAAAATAAAAACACACTTAGAATTATCAGAGATTTTGTATTTATTTATTTTTTTAATGCAGTTGTTGCAAGAATTTACTCAACTTGCCATGATGAATACAATTTGAAAAATGAATTGACATGAAATTGCTCCTATAGAGAGATACGATAAAAATTGGCAAAAACTTTTAACGTATAAAAGTTCAGATACTAAGTGTGCTTCCATCTTCCACAAGAAATGGGTTTGAAATGTGTGCGTTTGGATATTTGTTCAATTGACAAACCAAATAATAACTGCGATATTTGAGTTTGAAGCCTTTACAGAGAAAATTAGTTGAAAATATTAGCCCTTTAAAGCAAGTTGGTCACCATCTAAAAAAAAAAAATTAAAAAAACAGAGACTTAAACTTTTAATTTAGTCACAATTAATTGGTTTACACCCTTAGAAAATTTTTAGATCATACCTCCCCAATGCACAAAATATAAAAACATCAAATAAATATATTAAAGGAACTTCACATTTTGAAAAATTAGCACATATTTGAAGTGGATAGATAAACAAACAGAATTGGCCCAGACAAATTTCACTTGCAACATTTAACAAAACTCTTTACAAAAAAAAGCATGTTAAAATCACAGTTAGTTTACCTTATTCAGTCAAGATGCGGTAGTTCAAACCTCCTCTCAGATGCCTTGTTTCATGCGAGAGACAATTTGAACTACCGCCCAATCCAACCCAACTAAATTAAATTCAACAAAGAAAAACAAAAACAAAATCACACACATTTCACGCGCTTCTACGTTGTCGGCGTCGTCGCACCGTCACTACTCACGCTACTATTACTACTACTACACAGTATGTCCACGCGGTACCTATTGTAAGGTACATAGGGTGTCCGCTGCAAATCGTTGTCTGTCATCACTCGAGTCCGATTGGGCACGACGTTCTCGCCGCGACCCATCAACCAATCCGTACAGTGTCTCGCTTGGACGTCAGATACGTTCGAATTGGCCCACTTTTTCAGCCAGCCTCGGAACTTTGACGATTTTCGTTTGGTGACTTTTGGATGGGACTGCAAACAAAAACATTTCATTAATATAAAAATTCCTACAATTTAAATAATTAATTTGTTTCCGGTATTGGATTGATCTTAAAAGGGCAAATCTGGAATTGGAACTATGGGCTTTGAGAGAAAAGGACTTGTACACGGATCAGGTGCATGAAAATACCTTACCATTTGGAAGTAATCAGTCGGGTGTACAACCAAAGGAGATCACTGGGGGAGTGAATCAGTCAAATGCCATTATGGCTGACACACCAACAAACCCTGTTCAAGTGGGGAGCTTGTGCAGTGTTAATAGAGGTAAAGTACTTATATTGTGTGATCAGTTTGGCTTGGGGTTGGGAAACCTTTTGCTGAACAAGTGTAACGGCTCTCGTATCCAGTCGTTTGTAAAGACAGATGCATTGGCTGAAGCTGTATTGTCTAGTGCCGAAGACTTATCAAAAGATTTTTCAATTCATGACTACATCATTGTTTTAGCTGGATCAAATGACTTTAAAAATGGGAAAAATCCTTCTATAAAAAAATTTCTTACGAAATTGAAAAGTCTTTTGCATACTAAAGTAATATTGGTTTCTGTTCCTTACTCAAAACAGGGGCCTTCTGTTAATTCGGATATTTTTAATTTTAATACTAGGCTATATACCTGTGCAACTCAGTTGAATCGATACTCAGAGAGCAGGGTCTGCTTCATGGACTATAATGATTTTAGAGGTTGCATTTTAAGTAAGAATGACCTTGCTCGAGGGCTAATTGATTTAATGGGGTCGCCCAAAGCAGGTTCTAATTTGATATTTGTTAAGCGTTCTACGGTTGATCTTGTGTCTAGCGCTGACCAGGTTGATTTTTTTATCACAGACTCGGCCGGGAGGAAGGAGAGGTAGAAAACGATTGTCACCTTGAAATTTTGGGGACGCCAATGGAGAGCGGACCTAACGTTTCCGTGTTACTTCTGAACATCCAATCTATTAGGAACAAAATTGACGAATTTATAGTTTTTATTGAAAGCCAGGACAAACCGAGTCTCTTATTGATAGTGGAGCATTGGTTAAAACCTGATGAGCCATGTCATATTCATGACTATTTACTTGTTTCCAAATACTGTAGAAGAAATCGTGGCCATGGAGGTACTATGATTTTAATTAACGAGTATGTTAGTAGTTTGTTCTGTTTTGAATGCGTGAGTACTTATGATTGTATGTTGGTAGAGGGTGAATTTGAGTTTTCTATTATTCAAGATAAAAAGCATAATCTTGTTATAATATGTATGTACAGACCCCCAAACTGCAATGTTAAGCAGTTCTTGGTAAACCTTGAGGCGCTTTTATCTTGTTTTGGCATACATGCCAGAATTTTGCTGGGGGGTGATCTGAATATAAATTTTACGAACGAATCGACAGATAAGCTAGAACTTGAAAATTTATTGATTTCTTACAACTTAGGTATGTTGGTCCATCAGCCCACGCGATTTACAAATCGAACTGAAAGCATTTTAGACTATATATGTATAAATTTTGAATCAACCGAGGTGTGTTGTGATGTAGCTCCAGCAGCCCTCTCTGATCATGAGGCGATTATAGTGTGTTTTCCCCAACTAATAAATGAGAAACAGGTCGAGAAGCCTAAGTATCGTAGAATCTATAGCAGATCCAATTATGAAAAATTCCAAAATATTGCTGACTATTTTTTTTTTATAGATGGTTTGGAGAAATGTTGTGTCTTCAAATAATCCTATCCAGCAATTCCACTCAAAACTTGAAGTACTGTTCAGAAATGCTTTCCCATTAAGGAAAATAGGGCGTAAGCGAAAAAAATCATGGGTTACTAAAGGCATTAAAATTTTGGGTAATAATTTGAGGTCTTTACACACAATAAGAAAGTTTTGTGATGATATAAACTTTATAATTTATTTTAATAAATACAGGGCTATCTACCGAAAAGTAATAAATTCGGCAAAAACATTTTTTTATAACGAAAAGATAAACGGAGCTCAAAGCAAGGCCAAGGAAAGCTGGAAAATTGTAAAATATTTAAAGGGGGATACTAGTGCGAAAATAAGTGTAAACATAGGACCTAATATATTGAATTCTTTTAACTGTTCAGTTGCGGCAAAACTAACTTCTAATCTTTCAGTCGGCAGGGACCCCATCGATTATTTGTCTCATGTGAATGCAGCCAACTCTTTTTTCTTAGTCCCTACAGACATATATGAACTGAAAGATATCATAAGAGAAATAAGGAATAAAAACTCGTCAGGCAGCGATGAAATTCCTTTGACGGTTTTTGAATATCTTCCTGTGGTGGCACTTCTTAGCCTGGTGGAGGCAATAAATTGTTCATTTCTGGCGGGGGTGTTTCCAGATTGTCTGAAGTTGGCGGTTGTTGTTCCCATTTACAAAAGCGGAGACACAGGTCTCCCTTCAAACTTTCGCCCAATAGCACTGCTTCCAACTCTTTCAAACATAATCGAAAGGTTAGTTAAGAAACGTTTACTAGGATTTCTTCTATCCCGTAAAGTACTTTCTGAACATCAGTTTGGATTTCGGGCTGACAGGAATACTGATGATGCTATTTTCTCTTTCTTGGAGAATTTGTACACCAAACTAAACGACGGAGAGGTCGCTGCAGCAGTGTTCTGCGACTTCTCCAAGGCGTTTGACTGTGTCAGTCACACTATTGTCTAAGCTGGAGTGCTACGGGGTAAGGGGTGTTGCTCTGAACTGGTTCAGGTCATATCTCTCGGGTAGAAGGCAGCTAGTAAAATGCAGCGGGAACATATCTGACACAATGGAAATTAATACAGGTGTTCCACAGGGGTCTGTTTTGGGCCCTCTTCTATTTTTGATATACATCAATGATTTGACTCGAATAGACGTACAGGCAAGATTTACAGTATTTCCAGATGATACTACTCTCTTGTGGAGTGGTAAGAATGAGAGAGAATTGATGACCGTGGTACAGAGCGACCTCAACAAGATAAAATTGTGGTGTGACTGTAATTCTTTATGTTTTGATGTGAATAAAACAAGCGTTCTGGGTTTTAGGCTTGATTCGGGAGATGTAGTCTTTCAAGATGGCGTGATACATCAAAGCGACGCTACAAGATTTTTGGGCGTAATAATTGACAAAAGGTTGAAGTTCACAGAGCACTTGGAGCATTTGTGTAAAAAATTATCTACGGGGTGCTATGCTGTAAGGGCGGTGTCAAGGGAATTAGGACGACATATAGCCAGGAGTGTATACTTTTCCTTGATTGAATCCCATCTTCGCTATGGGGTGGCCTTTTGGGGTTATTGTAATGTAACATCTTTAAATGCGGTCCTGATACTGCAGAAGCGGGCCTTGCGATATATTTGCAATGCAAGGACGCGAGAACATTGTAAACCCCTTTTCATAAAGGAAAAGATCCTTACTGTGGTGTGCTTATTTATATTGGAAACGGTCTGTTTGTTGCATAAAAGATTCAAAGGCCAGAGACGCAATGCTGCCTATGCCATGCGTAATGAGTGGGACTTACCTCTCCCAATTCCAAGGTCTGGTTTAACCAAGAACTCGGTTATATTTGAAGGTCTTAAAATATATAACCACCTGCCGTTGAATACAAGATAAATTCACTGCAGCAAAAATTTTAGAAAATCTGTTAAAAAAATGCTTGCTACTAGACCATACTATAGCATAGGAGAATATCACTGTGATATATTAACATGATCGTTTCTTTGTAATATTTTGTTGTTTTTCTGGTTTTGTATTTAACTTGACAATTTTTTTTTCTATTAATGTTTTTATTTTTGATGAGTATTTAGTATAGTTTTTATTATATTTGTAAAGAAAAAAAGAAAAAAAAAGGAAGGAAAAAAAAAATAATAATTATAGCTTATTTTGATTTAATTTTTTATATTAATTTGTAAGTGCTATGGTGATAGTGATGCTAGTTGACATTCGTCAACAATTTTTTAATGTGTTACCTTCAATTGTTGTGAATCATTTTATTTTTATCCTTGTTATGAAGTTAGATGTATGATGAATTAGGATTAAGGCCTGCTTTGTCTACAACATTAATAATTGTTTTTTGACAATAAAGCTTATTTGATTTGATTTGATTTGAAATGAAACAATGCAACCTTAAAACGAAATATTGTAACTCTATTCGAAAAATTATAAAGATCAGGCCAGATCCAAAGAACTAACAAGTAACAATAAGGGTAGCAGTTCGGAGATTGAAATCACCTTTTGGTACAGTAACTTGCAATCTATTACCAACAAAATAAATGAATGATCAATATCAATACAAAAACAGACTTGGCTTAATAAGAACATCGTTGATGGTCTTATTAGGATAGATGGGTATAGTGTATTCCGGCAAGACAGAGAAAATCAAACTAGAAGTGGGGTGTGTGTTTTGGTTAAGGATGAGTTAAATGGACATATAGTAAACAATCATTTTAATACATTCGCCTCACTACAGTCATCGTGGATTGATATAAAGGTCTGTAACATCAAATTTTTTGAGTCTCTTGTATATACAGAACGGATTATTCCAGTGAGGAAAATGATAATATTATGATTAAGTCAATTAAACATGCCTGTTCATTGGATATGCCCGTTTATATTATGGGGGATTTCAACTATCGGCATATAGATTGAAAGAATTTTAATCTGTCCAACCCAGACAAAATCAACTTTTTTTGGACAACTACCTTGAAACTGATTCTTACCAAATGGTTGATTTTCCAACACGTTTCCGAAATTACCAAGTTTCTCTACTTGATCTAGTCTTCACCAATGATAAAAACTTGTAATATATGCAAATGTATGGAAAAAGTTGTAGTGAAACAGTTAATCCCATTTTTACTAGAGCAAAATCCATTACTGAAGCACCAACATGGCTTCCAAGGCGTTCTACTACAACCAATCTCACACTATGCTTGGACGATTGGACAAGGGACTTTGACAATAACGAGAAAGTGGATGAGATATATCTCGATTTTGAGGTGTGCCCCAGCTATCTT